TATTCGGGAATTAAGCGTGCTCAGAACGTGATGTTTCCAGGTGTCGTGATCGTGTCATCGTGCCGAGCTTAACGAGGAGCAGTTAACGTCTGGGTCTGGGTCGTTAGGGAACGCGGAATGCGAGTGGACGCTTACTCCCACGGCCGCGTTGCGAATCCTCGAAACTGCCGCGCCGCGCCGCGCCGCGCCGCGACGTGGACGATCGTTAGACCGGTTCCCCGTGTTCACTGAGAACAGTGCTTTACCGTACGCGTTCACTCTTGACACGCTCTCTATCTTCCTGATCGACAGGTAACGATGTACAAGGTGTTCCTGCCGATTTCCGGCCGGCTCCACTAATCCGCCGCGAAACTGTGCAAACACTTAGCGAATCCCGTCTATTATCCACCAGACGCTGGCATAGTCAAATCGTTGTTCGCCTGTATGGGCTTCGAGCAGCGCGCTCGCGGAAGAACAATATTTTATTTAACTACTTCATAAAATTGTGCAAGAACCTAGCGAGCTTTGTACATATGTATTGGGTTGGCAACTAAGTAATTGCCGATTTCAGTTATAGATGTCTCTCACTCCCATTTTTATGATATCCGTAAATGTTATATTATAAAATTATTATTATTATTATTATTATTATGTTATTTTTTATTATCCGCGAATGTTAGCAACTGGACAAATTGAATGCAGCGGTCAAGGAAAAGCGACCAGAATTGGTCAAACGTAAAGGTGCCATTTTCCAGCAGGACAATGCTGCTAGGCCGCACACGTCTTTGTCCACTCGGCAAAAATTGATGGATATTGCTTGGGAATTGATGTTACACCCACCATATAGCCCTGATCTCGCACCATCGGATTGCCACTTATTTCGATCCCTGGACAACTCCCTTCGTGCTAAAACTTTGAATGACGATGACGCTGTAAAACCTCACTTAACTCAGTTCTTGGCCGAAAAGGATCAGACTTTCTACGAGCGTGGAATTTTCAAGTTGTCGGAGAGATGGCAAAAGGTCATCGAACAAAATGGAAAATACATTACAGATTAAACTTCGTTCCAAGTAAAAAAAATTCTTTTATTTCATTGAACAAATCG